GCCGGTGGGTCGTCGCAACAGCGTGGTGTTGCAGGAAAACATTGGCACGTGCTACGCGTTCCGCGACGCGTGCGGCGTCGCGTGTGCAGTGATTTGCACTGCGAGCTACTCGGAGCGGCTTGCGTTCGTGCTAATTAAGCGCGCGATCGAGCAGTTCATTCAAAAGTTTCCTGTATCGAGTTTGGGCGCTCAGGTTGCCAAGAACAAATACAACTTCCCCGAAGGCGACGCCTTGTTGTCGAAATATCAAAATCCACGCGAGGCGGACGAGCTAGTCAAGATTGAAGAGGACTTGAAAGAGGTGCAGTCGATTATGATGACGACGCTCGAGAAGTTGCTCGAGCGCGGCGAGACGCTCGATGCGCTGATGGAGAAGACCGACGACCTCAGCAAGGCGAGCGCGATGTTTTACCGTCAGGCGAAGGCGCAGAACAACTGTTGTAAAATCTACTAGCTAGAGCGCTGCATAGCGCTCGGGCGAATATTTTTCGATTTCTGGTTCTTTCGGCTCTGCGCGCGCTTCCATGTAGTTGTGCTTTAAGCGCTTAAATGACAAATTGCAGAACTTCAACAGCAGCACGACGAAGCCGAGTGTAAGTGCGGCGCTACTTAGCTGAAGCAATGCCTTCAGCACATTGTACGAGAACGTCATTAAGCCTGTCACCGTGATCGTCAGCGCGATGCTGCTGAGGATCGCGATCATAGCGCGCAGCATGGCTGAGCAGCGAACCTGGCTCGCACTCGATGGTTCGCGCAGCTTTCGGAAAATTAGAAGCGCTGTGACGATGGGGAACAAAATACGGAGCATGACGAGTGGCGTCGAGTACGGGTTCAATCGGCTTTCGGCCGAGTCGAGCAGTGAGTTGATGTCGTGATCACCTTCCGCAATCAGGAAGGTCGTCGCGTCGCGGCAGTTCAGACTGTGCAGACTCAAGCGCTTCAAAGGTTCTGAGGACGTGAACTCATTCCACAGCGACGCTCGCGACTGCACGCCAATTGCGCTGATGTGCGTTGCGCTGCTGCCATAGAAGCGAATGCGAACGTCGCCCAGTTTGGGGTCGAACGGGTTGCCAGAGTAGAGTGTGTTTTCGAACACTTGGGTGTTGCTGCTGTTCACGAACAACGGTGGGCGCTCTGAGCTGGGCTCGAAGACGCCGTCGTCTTTGAGCGGGATCAGTTTGCGGTTGCGAAAGGCAGAGGAGCCTTTCGCGTTGAGTACGAAACCGCCCGCTTGGATCTGTGGCGCAAACTTTCTGCCGAAGCTCGAGAGAAACGGCATGTAGTTCAGTGCGCCGTTGCGATGGAGTAGGTACGGCTGCCACTCTCCGGCGCGCGTGTTATTGATGCTGCTTTGGAACATCTCTATTTCCGTCTCCATGAACACGCCGGTGAACGCAGGCACGTTTTCCGCAAACTCACGCGGCGGTTTGAACTTGTACCGCTCTTTGATGGGACAGTCGATGTGCACCAGCAAGTCGTCATTCGCGTCTTGCGGTGTGCACGGCGAACTAACCACGTTGGTCTTGATGCGATAAGTGTTTGCGCGGATTTTTGCGGACTTAAACTCAAAGCAAAACCACAGAAGCGCCGTCAGCGCGTGGACTGCAAGCAGCGTCTTCAGGCTGCAGAAATGGAACAAAACCTTCTCCATGTGGCCACTGGGCGCTTCAATATTTGAACATGGTGCAAATAAAGATACGGCATAAAATAGGTCACAACCGCTCCTAGCGGGCTACTTGAGCACAAATCGCATCACGCGGTCCACTTCGGTGTCCATATAGCCCTTGCTGCGCGCTGCGGTGTTGTCGTGAGGACGCGTGCTCTCGCTGTCGCTATCGACCTGCGAATCGCCAGCGTCCGAGCCGTCCGCGGACTGCACGAGCAGGTGCAGCGCAAGCAGATGGTCCTTTAGCGCAGCGGCGTCGAGCTTCGGCTTGTTTGCAAGTGCAGTCAGCGAGTGCTGCGTCTGCAGCGCGCCGCGCTGGTACACGAGTATGCACGGCAGCTGCGAAGGCGGGAACCGCTCAACAACTGAAAGGCTTTCTGCGACGCAGAACTTCGTGGCGGGAAACTCGCGTGCGAGCGCTGCGAAGAGGTCTCTCGCGCAGAGATTGCGCTCGTTGGTTTTTTCGTAGAGTAAGCAGAGCACGCTGGCGTCTTTGCTGGCGTTTGTGACTTCAGCGACGTAGTTCTGGCGGCAAACTTCGACCGCGGTGCCGAAGCGGTTGCGGCGAATTTGTTCTTTGAGCTTCGAGAGTCGGCGCGCGCGGTAGTCGGAGTAGACATCAGTGTCGCTATCGGTACTATTGCTCTCGTCGTCGGAGCGCTTCGCGAACTTGCTCAGATCGCAAGCTGCTACGCGGTTCTGCGCCTCCAAAGACAGAGCAATTTGCTTGGGTTCTTCAACATAAGGCTTGTAATTGCCGAACTTGATTTGCGCTTCATCCCACTCAGTCGTATAGTTGATGGGGTGAGTAGTGCTCATCGCGGATGGCGGAATCGGGGTGCAGTAAAATGGCGGCGAAAATCATTTACAAAAAAACCATCAGGCTGCAGAGCTGGCAGAGGCTGTGCTTCTGAGTGTCGCAGAACATCTGCTCAAAGAAGCAGACGTAAACGCAAAGATGCTCGCGCGTCCAGCTTTGCATATCGACCATGTAGAAATGTGACTCTGCACGCGGGAACTGCGCGGCGGTGGCCTCCGTTGCGGTGATCTGCGTGGCGCATTCGAAAACTTACGTAGAGGGGGTTGACTAGCGGCGCGTAGTTGCTGTTGCCGCTCAGCGCTCCGAAAAGCCCGGTTGCGGTGTGTGTCTTTGGAGAGCATGGATACTCGTTGACTGAGTCGCGTGCAGAAAGCCAATTTGTTACCGAGATGCTCTGGCGCATGAGACTCGCGAATGCGCCGTCCGCAAACATCGGCGACCCAAAGCCGACGACCTCGACGCTCAGCGCGGGCCGCCGCAGTTTCAGCAGAACGCCGAGAATGTGCGCGACCGCGGCGCCGAGGCTGTGGCCCGCGAGCAGCACAGACCTTACTCCGTCGCGGTCGGCCTGTTCGAGAGTTGCGGGAAGCAAAGTCACCGCGACTAGTTTGTAACCAAAGTGCACGTTGCCGAGATGCGGGGCGCTGATCGCGAGCGGCACGAGCGTCGACTCGAAGTTCAGCGCCCATTCGTTGATAGTTCCGCGTATGAGCAGCAACAGCTGGTCGGGCTGTTGCTGGCTGCGCAAAAAGGCTGCGAGCGGTTGCGGTTCACTGCTGAAGAAGCGCAGTCGAGCGAAAGCTACTGTTTCGTAGAGCGGAAGGAGCTCGAGGCTTTCGAACTCTAGTTCGCGGTAGTGCGTTGCTGCGATGAGCAGAAACAGTGCGCTCAGTAGCCGGCCGTGGCGGTGCTCTAGCGGGTAGTCGAGCGCATTGCTCTGTGGGCGAAATGCGCTGTATGCAATCACTTTGTCAGCGTCGTGTACTGGGAATTGCGCACACTGAGTGCTGAGCGCGCTCACGGGTAACGGCAGCGAGTGTGTCTTCACTGAGCGGGCAAACGCGAAGCAATGCAGCGCGGTGGCGGCCACCAAGTTCGAGGTGCGGTACACCGTCGGCGAAACATTGCGCGACGAGAGTACTTGGCAGATGCGTGCAACGATGTTAAAGTTTGCGGCGTCTGCGATGCAGCGCGGCTGCGGCGTAGCGGTTAGGTGAGTCAGTGAGTAGAGCACACTGATCAAATTGCTCTCGCGTAGAAACGCAGCGAGCGCTTTCCGCTCCTGTGCGATCGAGCAGCCCGCGTCCGCAGTGGAGTGCACGGGCAACCGCATCGCGTATTGCAACTCTTGTAGCGTATCATGCAGAAAGCTCGTGTCCGGCGCACCCGCGCGGCTAAGCTGCAGCAACTTGCTGATGCGCCCGATGTCGGAATGCAGCACTTTCAGCAGCAAGTTCGCGTCCAAGAACGGACGCTTCGAAGAGCACTGCAGCGCGAACTCTTCGAGGAATCCGTAGGCGCCCGCGTCGAGGGTCTCCAGCACTGCGTCGTATAGCGCGCTCTGCAGCGTGTTAAAGCTACAGTGCAGCTGCAAACCCTGTTGGACCGCAGCGGTCAGCGTCGCCAGCGAGCTTACGTGGCACTGGTAGCTTTGCTGCAGCTGCGTCTTGCTGATCTCGAAGTCGTAGCGCTGCAATGAGAGCGCTGCTGCAGCGCAGCCGAGATACAGCAGAATTTGCATTCCGAAATTAGGTGTGTAGTGCCTTTTCGGCGAAATCGATTTTCAGCTTTTGGACCGCCGCTGTCTCGCGAGCGAGTTGGCGCGCGTTCAGGGCCCAGAGCTGCATCAGCTTGCAACGCGACTGGACGTCGACCTCGGCAGCAAAAGCCGGCTCGCGACGCAACCGCGCGACGAGCGCGGCGTTACGCGCCGCGCAAGCGCGAAGCTGTCGCATGCCGCTTGCGAGCATCCTCGCAAACAGTGCGTGCGGGTTGAGGTCCGACTTGCGATTCGCGTTTTTTAGCGCTGCGATCTCCTTCTGCAGCCTAGCGAGCTCGGCTTCTTGGGTCTCGAGCTCGGTGCGTAGTGCGAAAGAGGGTTCGGCACCTTCGGTCGCGAAGCGCGGGTAATAGAAGTTTGCCTTGCTGCTTTGTGCATGTGCGCACTTACCCGTGCGACCATACGTTCAGTTTGCCCTGCGCTGCGAGCGACGCGAGCGCTTCTTGGATCAGCTTTTTGCTGATTTTTGCGTGCAAGTTATCGTAAACGTTCTGCACGTTGTACGGCCGGCCCTGCGTGCGTAGCGCGGGCACTTACCTGCTGCCGAATGTACCGAAATATCACAGCTTCAGTCTCGCTCATAGCGCAATTTTTGCCGCGCGCGCTGCGCACCGCGCGCCAGCGGGCGCGCAGCAAGACAAAACACACCCCCTTCTGCAGCCGGCATTAATATTTTATATTTCCGTAGCGGTTAAATTCGATTTGCTGCGAGTTTCGACAGTATATCTCCGCATATGTCAGCCATCCCCGCTTCTGGTGCCAAGAGGGTGAAGAAACAAGTGTACTTTGCTCGTTTGAAGGAGCTTGTTCACTCAACGACTCGTCTCTTCATCGTGCACGCCGATAATGTGCGCTCTAAGCAGTTCGCGCAAATTCGGTACGCGTTGCGCGGCAAAGCGACGATCTTGATGGGAAAGAATACGATGATCAAGACCTGCATCCGCTCTATTTTGAGCGAGGTACCCGTGTACGAGAAGTTCTTGCCGCTTGTTGCGGGTAACATTGGCATCGTCTTTTGCCACGAGGATCCTAAGGAGATTAAGAAGATAATCGCCCAGTACAAGGTCCCAGCGCCCGCGCGCCAGGGCGCGATTGCGCCTTGCGACGTTTTCGTTCCGCCTGGCGGCACTGGCATGGACCCAGGCCAGACTTCTTTCTTCCAGTCGTTGGGTATCGCCACTAAGATCGTTAAGGGTCAAGTCGAGATTTCGAACGAAGTGCACATCATCACGAAAGGCTCCAAGGTGACTGCTTCGCAGGCGACGCTGTTGAGCAAGCTCAACATTCAGCCGTTCACCTATGGACTCGAGTGCTTGACCGTCTTCGACGATGGCGAGACTTACCCCGCCGACGCGTTGGACATCTCTGAAGAGGACATCCGCTCCTACCTGCTCAACGCTATCTCGCAGACCGCTTCGCTTGCGCTTGGCTCTGGCTTGCCGTCGGAGACCTCGGTCGCTTACTCAGTGATGAACGCGTTCCGAAAGGTCGTGGGTGTCGCTGTCGCTGCGAACGCGGTTCGCGACGATCTGCAGCCGTTCTGTGAGGGCATCTCCGTCTGTTGAAAACGCTTGCAGCTGTGCTTCTCCGTATTTTAGATTTTCTATGCTGATTTTAGACTCTCAGAGTCGCGAAGCATTGCACTGTACCGCTGTAGATGGCGAAGTCACCTGCTGTTGCAGTAGGTCGCTGCCGCCTGCCACACGTGCGGCGCTTTGCCGAGGCTTCGGCGAAGAGACGCTCGCCATGTTGCCCGAGTGCGCGCTCCTTTGCGAACGACGTGCGTCCGACGAGTGCGTACTGCTCGGCACGACTGGCTGCATTGGCACCGCCTCGCTCTTCTACTGTATCGATCTCGAGTGCGGTGCAGTACGTTTCTCTGTGTTCTGCGTCGACGCAGGTTTCACAAGCGTCGAACCCGGTCGCGTGTACCTGTTTCGCCGTCAGCAGGGAACTGTCACGCTGCAAATTGTGTCGCTTCCACAGCAGCATGCGTTCTCCACCGCGGCGGACTGCACGCTGCGCGCGGATCTCGCACTCTCGCCGCTGGAGCACGTCTTCTTTTTGCTGCACGCCGCTGTAGATCGTTGCTTGGCCGGCGCGCGAAGCGCGCACTTGTTCTTCAGCGGTGGGGTCGACAGTGCATTGATTGCTGCGCTCTTGCTCGCTCGCAACGTTACTTTGCATTTGTATTGCGTATCTTTCTGCGGCGCACAGGCGCCGGACTGGATCACTGCGCTTGCTGCCTTCGCAGAGCTGGAACGTAGGTTCCCTGTCGCGCGCTGCGAGTTGGTGCTGATTGACGCGGCTGCTATGACAGGCAGCGACGGAAACAAAACGCACGACGCTTTGGAGCTGATAGCCCAGACCTTCATGGATGCATCCATTAGCTCTGTACTCTACCGTGCAGCGAGCTTCGACGGGTATGTCGTCAACAGCGCTGCGCAGGCGGAGGCGCTGTTGGACGCGGACTCGGCGGAGTTTAAGGCGCTGTTGAAGCACTTTTCGCTGGACGCAAACGGAGCTTCTGACCCCGTAACTCTGAAAACTGAACTATCTGCTGCGAGATCTGCAGCCTCGAAGACTGACTCTGGTGAAGAGCTGACAGCGGCGTTAATTCCGAAGACGATTGCGCTAGGCGCAGGAGATGAAGCTGTTGCGGAATCGCAAGAAGCTTCGGTCGGAAGATGCGTGCATTGCTGCAAGCACGTTGCAAAACGCGGCTGCGTCTTTGGCGCCTGCAAGCGCTGCTGTGTCAAACTGTGTGCGGCTAACGCTGATGCGCGCTGCACAGCGCACGGCATAGGTCGGGTGTTGAGTGAGCCGTGGTCCAAAGCGCTGGAAACTTTTGGTTCGCGCTGGGTGCAAATGCGTGGCAGCTTTTCCCGCAGCGTTGTGCCGAGCAGCGGTGTGATCGTGCTCGGCAGTGGTGCAGACGAACTGTTCGGCGGATACGTGAAATACAGCCAGCGCTATAGATGCAACTCGTTGGAACAGGCTTACGCAAAGATGCGTGATGACGTGCGCAACTTGTGGAAAGTTAATCTGTTTCGCGACTTTCAAACGCTCGTCACCGCGCTCCGCGACGGCGGACTGCGCTGTACGGACTTTAAAATTGAGTATCCATTCCTCGATCTCACTTTGCTACGATTTGTCGCAACACTGTCGGCAAATGAGCTGCTCTGCGTGGACGCAGGCTCAGAGACTGGCCTCGAGATCTCAAAACCTCTTTTGCGGAAAATTTTGCGTGAAAGATTTGGATTACATGTGAGTGCCGCTCTGAAAAAGCGTGCTATGCAGTTCGGCTCACGCTCCTCAGCGTTTCTTTCGGCGCAGCACAACTTATCGAATCGGAGCGTGCGAGGCACATTGCGCATGGCCGAGCTGCGAGCGGCGCGCTAGTGGGTTTTTCAGTTTTTTGCTTGAGGAAAACTGAACGCAGCAGCTGCAACTTTCGACTTATGGTTTTGATCGAAACAGATTCGACGGAGTACGAGATGCTGATAAACGAGCTGCTGCAGCTCTGCGCGCGGGAGTTGCACAGCGAGACGAAAGCATGCGAAAAAAGTTTGGACTGCCGCACTCCTCCTACCGCTGATGATACTGCGAAATCCGAACGCGCGTTCCGACAATGGTCGCTGGACTCCCAGAATCTCGTTACGTGCGAAAAGTCTGCTGATGACGGAAAGCGGAGGACGCTGGGGTGGATCTCTAGCGCTGAGCTGACGAAGCGCAAGCTGTATGACGTACTCGATATCCTGAACGTGTTCGAAGCCTTTCTCGAACTCGTGCAATTGTTTCGCCGCAAAAGCCGCAGTGGCTGCTTAGCAGCGAAGCAGTACACTGCGTTTCTCGAGAGCGTGCTGCACACGCTTACTGAGATCCCCAACGCGAGCGCAGTGCTCAACGTCTGCTCGATGCGGAATCGTAGTGATTTGACTGCGCGAGACTATGCCGATGTCACAGAGCTGTTGCGAGCCTCGCAGAGTCTGCTGAGCGCGGCGGCGTTCTTGCCGGCGCTCGTTCCGACGCTGGTTGTGCAGTCCTTCAGTTACAGCTCGATTGAGTCGATTAAGTGCCGCGGCAGCGTGTTGCGCGTGGCGCGATCGGTCAGTGAAAGTGAGCCTTACAGCAAGAAGCGGCTGGCACGTAACTGTCCGCTCTTCAAGAATTTGACCGGAGATATTGTTGATTCATACGCAGATATAATGATCGTGGCGAGAGACAATTACGTTTACATGAGTCCTTTTTTGTTTTTGCAGAGCTACGCCATCGCACAGTCAGAATCTTGTGCAGAGACCGTGACGCTCGTCAGAGCTACAAGCGTCGAACGAGCGAGCTTTCGGCTGCACACAGGCTCGAGATCTTGCGCTTTGTTGCGTTCCCGCGATATTTAAATTAGCTTCTTTCTCAATATTTTAATCGAGATTGGCCGCATGACCCATGCCTGATTCCGCGTCCAGCAGTTCCGAGGCTGCGAAGAACAACACATTGGAACGCTCGTTTTTTGACACTGAGAGCAGCAATGAGTCGGAGACCTCGTCTGTCGGCAGCTTTGAGAGCAGCTGCAGCGTCGCGGATAACTTCGATGACAACATCGACTCGGAGTCGCAGGTACTTTCCTTGTGCAATGCTGAACTGAATCTTGTTGGGGTTCGTGCGTTAGCTTCCGCTAGGGGTCGCTGTTGTGGTGGCGACAATGCCGCAGAAGATGTTGAAGTAGAAGCCGCAGTGGACACAGATCTGGACGCTTCAGCAGATACTGTTGCAGCCGACGTTACTGCAGTCAACGACTTACCGAGCGATCGCGATACGCTTCGCTTGTTGATTGAGAGTTTTGTTGCTGCCACGGCTAAGGGCGCTGATCCTGCACTGCGCAAAGGTTTCAGTCGCAAAGAATTGCTGCCTCAAGTCGCGCGGCTGTGCTCCAGGTACTACGGAATAAACGTCGAGCTTGTACGCTACTTTTTGAATCTGTTGGGCCCGAGTGGTGCGTTCGCCTTCTTCGAGTCAGTCGAGAGTCCCGGTCCAATCACGGTTCGCGTCAACCGTTTGAAGACGTCCCGCAAAGAGCTTGCAGTCAAGGTCATTCGACGCGGGATGGACGTGTACGAGCTTGCCGACTGGAGCAAGACGGGGTTGCTGGTCAAAGCTTCTAATGTGCCAGTTGGCGCGACACTTGAATATCTGACAGGACATTACATGCTGATGTCGGCCTCTTCCTTCTTGCCAGTATTAGCATTAGCTCCGCGCGAGAACGAAGTCGTGCTGGACATGGCTGCTGCGCCGGGAGGAAAGTCGGCGTTCTTGGCTGAGATGATGAAAAATACAGGTGCGCTCGTAGCCAACGACTTGAAAAAGGATCGACTGCCTGCGCTAGCGTCCAACTTGCACAGACTCGGCGTGCGCAATGCGTTGGTGACAAACCTCGACGCGCGCACGTTTCCAAAGTATTACAAGAGCTGCTTTGATCGCGTGCTGCTCGACGCACCGTGTAGCGGTATCGGCGTGTTGCGCAAGTCGCCTGAGGCAAAGCAAAAGCGCAAGCCGGAGGATTTCCAGAAGCTTGCTGCGCTGCAGCGCGAACTCATTTTGGCTGCGATCGATTTGCTGCACGCAGCGAAGGACAAAGGATATTTGGTGTACTCGACGTGTTCGCTTTCAGTAGAAGAGAATGAGATGATCGTGCAGCACGCGCTCAAGCACCGCGCAGTCAAGCTTGTCGAGTTGCCGTTCACGTTCGGTACGCCCGGATTCAAAGAATACCAAGGAAAAAAGTTCCATGAATCGATGGCTCTATGCCGACGCATATACCCGCATGTTAACAACATGGACGGCTTTTTCGTTGCTAAGCTGAAAAAGCTTTCGGATCAGAAAGCCAACGAGCACGAGCATGTATCTGCGACCCAGCAGTCTGCCAAGTCGAACGCTAGAAAGCAGAAGGCGGCTGCATCGGAGAAATCCGCGCAGAAAGTCGGCCTGAAAGCTAAGGAGAACGCGGCTGCGAAACTTATTGCGAAGCCCGCCCGGTTACTTGCAGCCAAAGGTTCTGCGCATCTTGACAAGCGGATAGCTGCGGAGCCTGCTGACTCGCATGCTGCCGCTGCTGCAAGTCCGACAGATGCGGACACTGTTAGACGTTTAGAAAAGAAAAATAAGATTAGACACGCAAAAGCACCTTCGGCGAAACGAGTTAAGAACAATGCTGTGAAGTCAGTCGCAAACGCTGGCGAAACAGCTTCTGCGAATCGTACCGCAAAAAGAGTTGCGAACGAAGCGATGCACGAGAATGTGCAACGTTGCGCAAAGTCTGCAGGCAAGGCTAGCGAGTACCCAGTGAAGAGTGATGACGGCAAGGCTCATGCCCCCGTTGTTGCAAGGCCTTCGGCCTCGCAAACTACTGAGCCGGTTTCCAAACTAGCCGCTAACTCAGCTGCGAAGCCAGCTGAAGAATTACCTGATAAACGAGTTCGTAGGACAGCTGTAAAACCGAGTAAGAAGACAGCTACGAAATGAGCTGTCAAGTCGCTTGCTAATACAGTCATTAAGCAAACGGAAGCGCCTACTGATCAACTGCGAGAGAGTGGAAGGTTGCTTTAAAAGCAAAAAGCGTTACTAAACGCACCGACAAGATAGCAAGCGCTAGGAAAACATGCCAATGACGTCACAGACACAACCCAGATGAAAAAAGATGCGATTAAGTCGAACAAATTATCAGAACAGGAATCTGGAATGAGAAATAAAACTTGTGAGAAGTAGGAGCCGACAGGCTGCGGGCAAGCCGAGTGCACAAATCGTTAGTAACGCGCCCATGAAGTTAGTTAATAATGCGCCGGAAAGAATTTTTGTCTAGGAATGCGTGAAGCCCACCGAATCTGTCGTCGAAGAGATTGGTAAATCAGCTCTTCAGCGGGTGATGGCGTGGTTGCGCGAGAAGTAGCAGCTTGCGCTCGCTCAGGCCCCGTTCTCTCGGCAAATGGCGAACAGCGATTCTAATTTGTCTTGATTCACGTCAATTTCTGCCTCGGTTTTGTCCAGCGTGCGGATCAGTTCTTCCGCAAAGCGAATATCTGCATCGAGTTGTTGCAGCACCGTTTCTGCGCGCACAGCCTCACACATGCAATCTCGCAGGGCGGCAGTTTTCTCAATATTTGTGCACAAAATTCCGCGGATATGTCGCAGAATGAGTGCGGTAGTGCCCGCAAAGCAGGCGCGACGCGCAACCCGTTGGTGAGCTCGCTGGTGCGCATACCCAAGTCATTGGGTACCCGCGCTGCGTCGCTGGCTATCCAGCTAGGAAAGGCAGCGAAACCCGAAACTGCAAACGAGACTGTCGATGACGAGCTGGCGGCGTTTCTTGGCTTTCTCGGCGATCACGTAATGAACTACTTCACCTTGGCACTGGTAGATCTCGTCGACACGGTTCCGGAAAAAGATTTGTTGCACACTGCGCTCCGTTTTCTAGAGAGTTTTGAGGAGCAAACCGCGGAAGAGCTCGACTACTTGCTGAGCTAGCTAGCTAGTCATGGCCTGCGTCGGAAGAGAGCGCGCGCCGCTCCTCGGCAATTCGGTGCTTGAGCGCCGCGCGTTGCTCGCACACCTGTTTTCTTTCCTTTTCAGCCCGAAGCTCTTGCGCTAAGTGGCCAGAGCGCGCTTTAACGAGCGGTGCATTCTTCATTTTCAGCAGCAACTCTTTGTAGTTCTCCGCGAACGGGTCGCGTAGCGACGCGAATTGCGAGGTCGCTCGGCGAGGCATAGCTTTAGGATCGACTTCTGCGGTCGCGGACTGCACGTCAGACGTAACCGCGAGCGAGTCGAATTGCTCGTTGAGCAGCTCTACTGCGCGGATGCCTTCTTCTTTCTCCATTTGTTTTCTGTGCCGGCGCTCTTTGCTTTCAGAGATCAGCTGCGCGAGCCGATCCTTGTGAGACACACGTGACTTCGCGTCTGCGAAACTCAGTTCGGTCAGTTGTTTCGCGTGCTGCTCGTTCTCCGCTGTGACACCCTCGTCGTCCGAGGATTGTACTACGTCCTTGCCGAGCGCCAACAGCTCGAAATCGTCCTGGAGCGCGTCATCCTGCAAGTCAAAACGCGAAGCACGGCTCTTTGCAAGCAGCAGCTTCTGAGCGTTAAGTTTCGTCTGCTTCGGGCTCACGGGCTGCAGCAGCGCGTCCAGTTGCGAGGCTTGCGCGTCCTTCGTGCGCAGACGTTTCGTGCGCTTAGCGACGTTCTTGACGCTCCCTAGCTTCCGGTGGCCGAGATAGTCGTAGCGAAAGTTGCAGCCGCCCATCGCTTACATGCTTCTGCAGTCAGATTTGTAGTGGGTATAAATATATAACGCTAGGGATTTCGATAAATGCAGGACGAGGCGAGCAGCAAACTGCTGACCTTGGTGAGTGACTTGTTGCTGCGCCACGGCTATTCGCAGGTCGACAGTGAATGCTTGGAACAACTTACAGACGTCGCACGGAGTACGTTTTTAGATGCAGAGCCGCAGCGCTGGTGTACAGCGCTCTTGACAGTTGCAGTGCGCTGGCCGCAGAATCGGGTCGGAAAATTGTCAGTAAGGCCGACGCAAACCAGCACGTGCACGCACACGCCTCGCAGTCTGCGTGGGCGAACACGCTGAGCATTCAAGTAAGTGGCGCTTCGCTTTACGCAGCGCATGCTGCAGCTATTGTCACGGGACTTGAGCAACTTGAAGTTCGAAAAGTTCCCAACTAAGTTCAGCGGCTTGCCGCTTCCCAGCTAGTCGCGACACGCACCATCAGGTGCGCGCTGTGGTTCGAGCTCCGCTGCTTCGGCGACTGGAGCGCGATCTGAGCTGCTCGTTTTTGTCGGTTTCGCATCGCTCTGCCACTGATCCTCGCTTTTCTTCAGTTATTTGTCTTCGTCAGTGTTCTGCTCATCTGCGCTCGGGATAGCCAGTCCGAAAACCTGCGAGTTTTTCAAGCACAGCGGCATGTTCTGCGCGCGCAGTGCTCAGCTGTTGGGCAAGCCGAGATTCTGATGCGTTCGAACGCAACGTACTGTAAGCCGTCAGCTCAGCGCGGAACGTTTCGTCAACGGGCCGCAGCGTCTCGGCGGAGAGTGCAGCTCCAGCGTTGCATGTCGGCAGCAGCGCGTCCTCATGCGGACTCGGCGCTGTGCTGCCGGAACGCGGTGTCAGCAGCGCGTCTAGACGAAGCAGTTCAGTTTCAAACTGCGCAATCTGCTCACTCGCGAGAAAAACACACCTGTGCGACGAGCGTGAGTTCGCGCTGCTCGAATCTGAGTGTCTCGCGCATGTGCGCAAGCGCTGCGGCGTTCTCCATGAATTTCGGAAATTACAATTCGTACGCAGCGCCACCAAGCGCCGTATTTGCATGCACGTAATCGGATATTAGTATGGATTCGCAAGAGCCTCACTACGTTTTAAAGAGCGGAGAGAAAAGCGTTAACGCTTCGGCAGAGTTCATTGTACAGCTGCCCTCTCACCAAGTCGAGAAAGTTGTCGAAGAGCCTGGCATTTGCCACGAGACAACGTTTGTCGAGGACGGCGAGGCCGCGCCGCTCGAAATCGCCTTTGACGCCGAAGAATTTGAGGTACTTGAGCAGTTTGACGGCGCACACGGCAAGATCGTAGTCGATGAGTTCTTCGGAGAAACGCTCTGCGTTAACGTGCCGACCCAGCTTGCCGAACCAGAAATCATATCTGTCACGACCAAAGAAGTCGTCAACCTCGTCGAAGACGAAAACTTCGTGGTTTACGAGGACCGCGTGCTGGTGGTTCCGTACCTCGCGTACAACTGTTTCGAGAACCCCGAGTTCGTCGCCAGCTGCGCAGCTTACGCTGACTGCGTAGAGTGCGCCAATCCGCCTGCGGGCGCCGCGGCTTTCCTAAAACTTGGACCGTGCGGCGAGGTGCACACTTCGCGGCCCAAAGTCGAAGTGACGATTAAAAGTGAAGCGCAGGAATGAATTTATTTCGTCATAGCCGCGCGTAAGCTCTGACGGGAGTAACGCAGATTGCGCAGGTAGCGCGGGCACATGCCGCGCGTCGAAGTCTTGCGGTTCTTTCCGCTAAAGCCAACCCGCTTGATCCCGTTGCGGTGATCCTTGCGGTTCTGCGTGCGGGCGTCTTCGACTTACTTGGTTATGGTTGGACGCGTTCTTGCTCTTTGCCATTTCTAAAATTATTTATTAACCGTTTTGTTGCGGCGCGAGAGCGCGCTGCGCTCTGCGCAGCGCACGGCGCGTGCGAAAGCGCCAATGTGCATGTCTATCTAACTGTCGTTCTCCACATCAGAGCTATCGGACGAGTCGAAGAAACGCACGTTTGGCTTCACGAGTGCCGCCGCTCCCTTGAGTTTCGCCGTGCCGTCGGAACGGAACACCAGCTTCTGCTTCTTAATTGCGCGCTCCAGACGTTGCCGCTTGCGCGCCACGTACGCTGCGTCAACTTCTGACTCGTCCGCGCTTGCCTCGCTAAATACGTCGTCGAGGCTCACTTTCGCGGGCTGTTCGGGCTGCATAGCTGCCGTCGGCGTTCGCTCCGTCTGCTTAGGGCGAGCCTTTCGGTCAACTTCGCGCTCCGAGCGTGTGGCTCGCTCAGGAAAGGGCTGGGGCTCTGCGGAGACTTCGCGCGACGCTTCGCGCTTTGCCTGCATCTCTTGCAAAAGTTGCTGCATTTCGTAGTTTTGGTTCTTCGCTCTGCGGGTGCCCGACTCGATGAAGCCGGAGCTGCTCGTCGGCACTCGCTTTTGCGAGACGCAGAAGCCTTTCGGCAGCGGCGGAATCTCAACCAGTCCAAGCGACGCGGTCAGCGCCTTGCGCTGCGCGAGCAGCGTTTGCACGTCAAACACATCCGTGTCTGCTAGTAGCGAGTAAAACTTTAAGTAGCTTTTGAAGTAGGATTCTGCGAGTTGTCGGACCGTAGTGTGTGTCGCGCAAAAGCCGCGCAGCTCGTTTGCAAAGCTCTTCAACTTGCTCACATCCACCAGTCGCTCCTGCAACTCATAGCCGTGCCTTGCAAGTTTGGCTGTAAACTGCGTCTCGGAGGGCAGCAGAAGGAGTACGTTGTCGCCCGAGTAGTTGAGGCCGCGCGCGGTGCGGCCAGCTCGGTGCGTATAAGTCTTCTCGTTCTCCGGACAGTCCAGCTGGATTACGAGGTCGACCGCGGTGAAGTCGATTCCGCGGCCGATTAAGTCCGTTGTGATGAGTAGCGCGCTCTTCGTCTTGTTCATGAACTCAGAGTAGATCGTGATGCGCTTTGCCTGACTCATCGAGCCTTGCAATTCGTAAATCTTCGCGCCAGTCCGCAGCCGAGTCACAATCTCAAACAAGTACCGCACCTGTTTCACAGTCGAGCAGAAAATCAGACACTTTTGCTGCGAGTGTTTTTGCAGCAACTGCAGCAAGTAGTTGAGCTTGTGCTCCAGCGGGATGACGACGAACGCGTGACGCACGCTGCTGTTCACTGCGAGTTGCTCCGAAGCGCTCGGGAGGCAGTATACAGATTTGATGCAGTCATCGCGACAGAGCTGTTTGATCAGCGCGGAGACCGAGCCTCGCAGTGTTGCGCTGAACATCAGATTCACGCGATCCTCTTTCGGCGGCAAGTGCGACACGATGTCCATGATGGTCGACTGAAAGCCAACCTCGATCAGCTTGTCCGCCTCGTCTAGCACGAGATACTTCAGTCGCGAGACGTCCAGGTTGTACGACTTCTCGAGGTGCGCGATCACGCGACCCGGCGTGCCTACCACGATGCCCATTCCTTTTAAGAAAGCGGCTTCTTTACGAAAAAACTTGCCGCCGTATACTGCCATGAGACTCACATCCAGCGTGTTGAAGTCGCGGAACACGTTGAAGATTTGCGTAGTGAGCTCGCGCGTTGGAGCCAGCAGCAGAGCGAAAGTGCCTGCGTCGCGCGTCCACTGTGCATCCAGCATGCTCTCGAGAATCGGCAGTACGAAGCACAGCGTCTTTCCCGAACCGGTAGGCGCTTCGCAACAGACGTCGAAGCCGTTTAGCGCGTACGGCAGCGTCTTGAGCTGAACGAGACTCATTCGCGCAAACTTCTGCAGCGAGCGTAGCACTTGCGGGTGCATCGGCAGGTCGTCAAAACCATACCGAGTCAAAATGCCGTCTGTCTCATACGAGACGCGCACTTCGTCGAGCGACTTCGCGCCTGCAGCGGCAGACGGCGGGATCCACTCTTCGTCGAGCTGCGGCAGCTCGACGCTTTTGCGGCATCGAAGAAGCTTGCAGACTAGTTGATTACGGTCATCGAGGCGCTTTCTCTTCGATTTGGGCATAAAATTAATTAGAAATCGTGCTAGCGATTGCCTCGGCTTTATATTCTCAGTCTAGTCGCGTGCGCTTTGCTGCATGGGGAGCACAACGCTGTCTGTAGAGTTTTTTGATTCGCTGCGCGCATGGTACAGCCCCGCCTGGCAGACTGTCGCGGTGCAGTTTAATGCGGCGGACACCGAGTTGGCCTATCCGTGCACGCGCGCAATTGAGCAATGTTTGCTGGCGCTCAACGAGCAAGTTGCGGTCTTTGCCATTGTTTCGCAGCGGCCGGCTTGTGCCTGCGCGGACTACAAGAGCGCGGCGGCGTGCGACGCGCAGGCGCTGATAGTAATGCTGGACTGTTGCGACTGCCGTGAAGCAGTCGTGCCCACCTTTTACTACGACGGTGGCGCCGCGCACGCAGCGGTCGCCCGTGCGTTGCGAGCCGTCTGCGCGCGCGCGCAAGCATGCGGTGAATTGGGGCTTGCGGCGGTCGTTATTCGACCCACAACACGCGTTGCTTCCGTCTGCTGCGCAGAGGTCGGCTCAAATGGAGTCGGAAACAGAGACGCGACTGACGACGTCAATGCGGATCTCAGTGACGCAGAGCTGCTGGAGTCTTGCGGCCCGCTAAAGCTTTTCGAGCTTGCAAAAGGCACTGTCCGCTCCAGTCGTGGGCGACTGGACGCGCCCGCGCGCTGGTCGACCGTCTACTTTGTGCAGCATCGCGTTGCGGCTAACGAGTTCAACACGCTGTGCGCGCGCTACCTTGCGGAAGTGTTTCGCTGTCGATGCGTACTGTGCGATTTCGATAGCAACACGTTGGCGTCGTTCGACCCGCGGCCGCAGCCGCTGTTCCATGCGCGCTACTTTTTGCGGCAGCAGATCCTGGACGCCCGTCGCATCTACGTGCTGGTCTCTGAGCAGCCGGATGCCGCGGAACACCGCATGGTGCAAGCGCTCAAGCGTTTTCTGCGCGCGCAGCAGAAGCTCTGTCTCCTGATCGTGATCGCCGACGTAACCGAGCCGAAGCTCGACAACTTTGAGAAAGCGGACCTCTTCGTAGTGACCGACTGCCCGCTGATCGCGTTTCGCCTGCTAGAACAGATGCGCGTGCAGCGGCGCAAAATAATCGTGCCGCTCGAGTTGCTGCTCGCGTACGATGCACTCCCCTTGCCCGAGTCGCTCATGAACAGCTTTGCGTACGATGTGCCAGCGCTATTGGAAGCTGCTGCTGCAAAATCTGCGCCGGAAGCGGAAGAAGCTGCAGAAACAGCGCTGGCGCAGCCCACTGTGGGTACCTTGAGCATTTGTCCGAACGTGAGTCTGACGCTCAACGCGAACCGCAGCTTCCCAGGCGTGCCCTTTCTCGCGCAGGACGCGAACTGTGACCCCGACGTCGTGTACGAAGGACAGTCTGGGATTGCTGCGCGTTATGTCCGCGAGCCATGCTGAGCCGCTAGCCGGCGTTAATGCTAAATATTTATATACGGAGACTTGCAGACGGCGGCCTTTGCGAATTTCAGTCGTTGGTGCGAAAGCTCTCGCGAAAGTTGTGCGTCTCGGTATGGAGGTTGAAGTCGCAAAGGAGTGGTTCCCACCCTACCCTCTCGAGTTGGTGGTCGAGCGCGGCTGCGTCTCGGTTTTTGGCTATCGCCTTGTCGCCGGCGCGACTTTCTACATCGCGGCGCTCGGAAACGAGACATTATCCGTAACCAATGAGTACTCCGAGCCTAGTCTTCTGCGAGTAAAAAAACGCGGCAAAAGCCCGAAAGCACTGCGCAAAATCTCACCACTGCACTGGTACGACTCCGTGTTCTCGAGCTTGCAGAGTACCGACGTCTGTGTATCAGGGAGCCTGCGGTGCGGGAAGAGTACGTTTGCGAAGTACTTGACAAACCGCTTTATTTCGGAGCGCGGCGGCTGCGTGCTAGTGGATCTGGACTGCGGGCAGCCCGTGCGCGGGTTCGTGTGCGCGTTCAACGTCAGTCTCATGCGAGTAGGATTCCGAACGTGGCAAAATTTTCCGTCGTTCAACGAAGATCTGAACTTGTCGGTTTGCGTTTTTGACCGAAAAGTCACTCGTCTCAGTTGCGCCACCCTCGCAGTTGCGCGTTGCGCGGAACAAGTGCGGAAAACGCGGGTCTGGCTGGCCGCGCACTTCTCGAAAGGTCTTCCGCTGGTGCTGAACTTCAATGGCTGCGATACAGGCGTCAACGCCGAACTACTGCGCCTCTGCGTTGCGGAGTTCGAGATTTCCGACATTGTGCGCGTCTTGCCGCCAGAAGCGGACGCCGTGCCCGGCGAAGCTGTCGAAAGCCGCAAGTACTACGACGAGCGACCGGATCGCGCTCCGTACGACCGACTCGGCTCCGCTCAGGTCCATGCTGTGCGTGGGCACTCAGACTACTTTTTGCGCCACGACCGCACCTATATGCCGGTTTCTTCGTGGTTGCGAGCGCTGTTCGAGAAGGACTGTGTCGTCGCGACGGGTCAGCTGCGCAGCCAGGAAGAGCTCGACGCGCATGTTGCGCGTTCACTGCAGACCATGAGCCTTGCTAACGTCTCCGTAGCGGTCGACGGCGAAGTTACGCTTGTGAACTCGGACATCAGCTTCAAGTTGGCGGCGCTAGTCGGCCTGACCGCTTCGGTCTGCTACGTGCTCGATGCACAATTTACAGTGCTGGGCGTGCTGTACGTGCACGGAGCGGACGTTGAGCGCGATTTGCTGTACTTTTATGGAGATTGTCCGCGTGCTGCCGCGGCCGAGCTCATTCTGTTCCCGCTACCACTCAAAGATTACGAGCTTGAGCGCTGCTGGGCTGTGCTAAACGACTGGCTTAGTCTCGCGCAGGGCGATGGCGCTGTGGCTGCAATGCCTGCGTCCGATGTAGCTGTGCTTCACAAAGGCGGCGCAGAGACTGTGTTTGGTAAGCCTAGTGCTGACACGCCATGCGGCGCGCAGCGCCTGCGGCACGTGCCGCGCGGCTTGCAACTCGGCTGAGCGGCGCGCTGCTCGCTCGGGCTTTTGTCGCCTCGGCTTGTGCCCTATTAATAGTCTACATATTTTACTCCGTAGCGATAATTTGCAGACTGCGGAGCGAGCGACTTGCTCAGCTATGGCTAGTGAGCTTGTAGCAATTTTGGAGAAGCACAGCGCGAAAGACAATGCGGGTGTGAGTGCTAGCGCGGATTGCCTTGTTTGGACCGCGCACGTCGCAGAGCTTTCTTCTGCGGACGCGCAGAAACGCGCCGCGGCGCTTGCGTGCCCCCCGGCGCAGGCTGTGCCTGCAGACTGCGTGCACGCCTTTGCGGACGCGCTGCTGTTGGCATTGCACAACTGCGTTTTTGCGGATCGAGTCGAGGTGTTCAGCGCGCTTTTCGAGACATTCGTCCAGCTTCTCAAGCAACATCAGAAGCCGCTTTTGCGACTGGTGAACCGCTGGTTTGGACTGTTCGCTATTGTTGCAAACCACGAAGCGTTTGCAAAGCGCACCGAAGCAGATCGGCTGCTGCTGAATGTCGTTAAAGGAGCCCAGGCGAAGCGCACGGCGTGCCCGCTGCCGTACGCTATGGCCGAATTTTCCCAGTACGCAAAGTCGCGACTTACGGCGCCGCAGTCGTTCCGCAATAGAGACCTGGTCACTTTGCTCTTTGCCGTGCTCAACTTCTACCAGCGAGTGTGTGCACTGAGCGGTCACGAGGCACAGCAAGGATACTACGAGCTTGTCAGTTTCTTCCTTGGCCTGAGCGACGTTAAGCGGACGGAACGCGTTTTATTCAACCGCGCCCTCCTCACACACTTGCTGCAGCATGCGACTGCGTTGGGCAACAGCGAAGCCGTGCTGCGCGACGCCATATTTGCGTTCTGCGAATCTTGTTTCGCCCACCGGCTAGAGTACGCCGACCTTTTGTCGTGCGCGGTGCAGCAGCTGCCGCCGATTTTCGCGCCGAAAAAGTTTGCTAAGCTGCTAGCTACTGTTGCCGACTACTTGTACAAAGTTTTGGGCCGTTGCGAGCCGTCGACAATGCAGCACCTAGCCCGGCTTGTCGCAGCGTTGGACTGCGTGCAGCAGGCGCGCGGAGTCGCTGTGGCTTGGCCCAAGATCTTCTCGTCTGTCGCCGCGTACCGCAAATGCCATTTGGAGAGCGACATGTACAACGCGTTTTGGGACGCGATCGACTACGCACTCAGCTGCCTTTCCTGCCGCGAGCCTGAGCTTTCTGCTTCGGGCGACGCGCTGCTTGGCGCGCTTCTGCATCCGTCGGTCCGAGTCCGCGTTCCCAGAAACAGCGTTCTCACTGTGCAGAGCGACTCAGCGTATTTTGGCAGTTTGCGCCGGGTGATGCAATCTGTGTTTTGTGGGCCCGTTCCGCTCGGATCAAGCTTCTGCTGCTTTCCGGGGCAACCTGAGTTAGAGATGCGCGCTGCTCGCGGGGCTGACCGAATGTTTTCTGAGCTCACAATTTACGTTGCGAAGCTAGTTGCTGAGCGCGGAAGCGGGCGCGCGGAACAACAAGCCGCTTTTGCAAGGCTGCTCGAGCTCCTGTGTTCGCCGCAGCAGACTTCGGACGCGCCGATGTTCAGCGAAGTGCTCGCGTTTCATAAGGCTCTTACAGCCGACTACCCGTTCGTTCCGTTGTTGAACGAGTCGCTGCTCTCGACTTACATTGAATGCGCCGCAGAAATGGAGAACGCCGAAATCATAGAAAAGCTTTCGACATATGTTGGCTTGCTGCCGCCGTTCGCGCAAATCACACTCTTACACAATTGCTCCGCGTTGCACAAGCTTTCTGCCTCGTCAGAGATTGAGCGTCGTTACGATTT